GATATCTTAAGTTAAAATTTTATGTGTAAAAAGCAATTGTAACTATCATAAATTTATATAATGGGAAACATATAATATGATAAAATTAAGTATAACGTATGACATGATAGAATATTGAAAGTATTAAATGCAAAAGTAAGCTTATTTAATTTTTATTTTTGTATTAATCATTATCACATTTTTAAACACATTTTAATAATGCATTGAAAAATATTGTATCATGTATATTGTATCATACCTTGTATATTAGACAATAATATAATTTGAAATTAAACAATACAAAAATAAAAAATTGATAATAGTTGCTATTTATGTACAAGTAAGAAGTACATGTTATTTATGTACAAGTACATGTTAGGAATATTATCATTTCTACATTATGAAAAGGAAATAAGAATTTTTATTACATTGAGCCAACACAATGTTTGTATATGTACATTTAATATAAATTAATAAAATTTTATTTGATTGTATTATAAATATATATATATATGTACACTGAGGCGATCAATATATAATATACAATATCATTGCTAAAATAGTTATACCGAATATTCGAATTATTTGATATATCCAGTACAATCTGAAATAAAAGTGATAATATCATTAGATATAAAAATTATATAATTATAAATTTTATAAATTTATTTATATAAATTATAAAATTTATAATTAGGCGATTATAATAAATTATATAAATTATAAAATAAATATAAATTATAAAATTTATAATTAGGCGATTATATAAAAATTATTATTCTACTAATGAGATATTGAAATTATATTTTTTAATTATACAGATTACGAATGTCTCGTCGATTTCGATGATTCTTAAATATGTCGTATAACTCAACAATCTGAACAACTTTTTTTCCATATACATGTAACCCCCCGTATTTTCTTCGCTTGCGAGATATTTGCAGAAAACTATAGATACAAATGGAATAAATTTTTAATTTATCTGTGACAGAAATGTGCAAGCGTAATCGATATATTCGCTTGGCTGTTTACGTCTGTGAGTCATGAACTTCTTTATCTTTGCGTCATATATTACGAATCCAAATTTGAACGAAAGTCACATTTACAACTGCATATAATCTCGTTTGTAACAGATCGAATTTGACGGACAATGTCACAATGACAATGATACTGATACTGCTCTTTGGAAAGCAATATCGTTGTCTTTTGACATTAGTCCGGTTTTTGCAGACTCATAAATGCAACAGCGTAAAAAGCTTCCTTCTTCGATCATTTCGAAAATGAGAAAAGTCTGGCGATACCGTGTACAGAAGAACATTGTTCCGATTGTTGAATTTTACAATATTTAAAAGTCATTTAAATCGATGAGCCCGCCGTAATGTTTTCGTATTTTCGTATGTTTCGTTCAATACGAAAATAATCTTATACGTACACTGATAATCGCTGTCTAGATGCAACTATAGATTTAGACTTTTCTTTCAGAATAAATTTCTCAATTCCCGCCATATAAATTGCAATATATCTTTTCCAATCTACATCCCAATTTAATTTCACAATCTCATTGTCTTTCAACTTTTCCACATCCACCATCATCTTGCTAACGTTATCTCTATGAAAAGTCCATTCGTGCATGCTGAAATGCTGCGCATTTGTAACCAATTCATTAAAAGCATTACTGCCTTTCATCATTCTGAAATGTAATTCTTAAATATTATTATCATTATATAAGTACATGAATTATTGTGAAAAACAAAAAAATTGTTCTATTACACCACTATTCGTTGTTCGACAAATAATCGAATACTCACATTGGTTTTCTACCTGAAAATTTTAGAAACGTATCTATAACGAACGCTGGCAAAATATGTAGAAATATATTTAGAGCATTATAAACATATTTGTTGTCTACCATGAAGCAACATGGATAGAATAACACTCTCTTCATCGGTATTTTTCTGTTACATTGCACCACGGCATTCACCATTTGTTCCCATCTTAAACAATGAAACGTTTAATTCAATAAAACTTGTAGGGTTGAATTATTCAAGTATTGAGAACTTGTATTATAGTATTGAGAACAAACTTGTATGGAAGTATAAAATAGTTATAGAACAATTGATTTGATTCGGA